TCCTGAGCGCGCGGGTACAAGAGCGCGGCGCCAGCGCGCCACAGGCCGGCATTCCCCAGCCATGTCGCGCAGCCTCCAGCTCCTGCTCCTGAGCTGCGGTAGGGCCCGAGACCTCCTGTCGCCCCCCGTTTCCCCACGACACCCACTTTCCTCGCTTGCTCACGCCTCCGTCTCTCTCCCTCTTGCAGCCTGCAGCCTGGCGCCAGCAGCGCGGGAAGTGAAGGCGGCTTGTTCCGAGGATGTGGACTTGCCCTGCACCGCCCCCCGGGACCTGCAGGTGCCCTATAGGGTCTCCTGGACCAAGGTAAGCTCCCAGATGCTCGCAGGCAGGGGTTTGGTCGGCTCAATTGGAGGCTGCCGACCCACCTCCCTGAGGCTGGAGACCTTACGCGGCTGGGGGTCGGGGAGTCTCCCGCAGCTGAACTCCAATCACCCTGTCTTCCCATACACCTCCCGGCCCTCGCCCCAACTCTGAGCGCACTCAGGTACTCGGCAGGCTTAGGTTTTGTTCTCGAGGACCTCAGTTCTTTCCTGCCCCTAGAAGTGGCCCTAATGAATGACATACATTAGACGTACTGTTGAGCGCATTCGGGTTGATTTGGAGGCCACCTGTGGTTGGGCCGGGGAGAAAGCAGCCAGGGCCTATTGAGACACTGGGCAAGAGGATTTCTGATTTTTGGTGTTTTGTGACTGTGATGCCCATCGGTTTGGAGGTGGCGGGGGGGTGGGGGGGGGCGCGTTTGGAAAGGAAGGACTGAGAGATGGGCGTGGCCTAGGTTGTTTCATAGGTGGTGGTTACCTGTCAGTCATCCCCTTCCTTGGCCTCCTCCCTTACCCTAGCTTCTCCGCCCTCTGTCCATCCTGAGAGGTCCAGCAAGGAGGGTGTCAGCGAGGGTGTATGAGCGGTGTCCACGCGTGTAAGAACAGGCGTCATTGCCTCTGCTGTGAGAGGATTGAGTCGCGTTGAGGCTATTTTTAAAGTTTCCTCTGAACTGGAACATTTTCACATTCTAAGATTGAGGTTCTGGTGGCGTTGCAAAGCCAAGCCGCCGCTGTTGGCCGTCTCTGGTCCTTGGTTCACGTTCTCTAATGAGATTACTGCCTCTAGGTTAAGCAGAATGAGTATGCTCTCCCAGCCTTATTCTGCAGCTGTCACTCATTGACCTCTTACCTGGGAGCAAATCTCCATGTATTGCCCCTTTCCACCAAGCAGGGTTCTCTTCTGCCCAGCATAAAAGATGCTGTGAGAACCTGAACACACATTTGGCCATTTAACAAGGAGCAGAGGACAGTTATTTCTCTCAGCCTACCCAGGTTGACTGTTCCCTGGAGACAGTGCTGCACAACTGCTTTTGTGTGTTCTGAATGCACCCACTGTTTGCCCTGCTAATTGCGAAGGTAGGTGCTCGGTGAGTCCAGGCTGGCACTTAGTGAGTTATGTGCAGTGGAAATGGCGCTGCAGCCTTGGAGCACAGTGTTGTGTATGAAAGTAGGTTTGTTGTTACTCCTACTTCTTTTCCACCGTATTCACCGTGGGATGGAAGAACACATTTCCAATTTCTAAATTGTTCTCATTGTAAAAACAATACTGTTTAGCTCTGGCCAGGTGGCTCAGATGGTTGGAGTGTTCTCCCGGGCACCAAACCGTTTCTGGCTTAATACCTAGATTTCGGGTTCAATCCCCAGTCAGAGGCTCATATGGGAGGCAACCAATTGATGTTTCACTCTCACTTCAATGTTTCCCTTTCTCTCTCCCCCTTACTCTCTCTCTAAAATCAATAAAAACGTATCTGTGGGTGAGGATTAAAAAAAAGAATACTATTGAAACAAAAATAGTGTAAAACCCATATTATTTGAGTGCTCACCATCTGCTAGGCTCTGAGGTAACTATTTACCTGTATTAGCTGTTTCAGTCCTTCCAATAGATCTTCTAAGAGATGAATACCATTACCTCTGCCGTAGAGATGAGGAAACTGAGCCTTAGGGAGTGAAATAACCTGCTCACTGTTACATAACTGGCTAAATGGTGGAGTTGGGATCTCAATCAAGTAGTCTGACTCCACAGCCTGAGTTCTTAAAAGTCTATCTTGTTGTTTCCTCTCTTAAGTACTTAAGGCAACAAGAATTTTTAAAACATGTGCCACAAGAATTTTTAAAACATGCAATATCTGACTATTTAGTCAGGGGCACAAACCTCTTTTTCTTTAAATATCAAATAAAAAAAATGACAACAACAACACAACAATAATCATCCAGTGTGAATGAATCAAAATTATACCCATATTTTTTGTCAGATTGGCAAAAATATATATTTTTTTGGTATGCAGCCGAATTTTAGTAGTTTATGTGTGCCACGAGATGAAAAAGGTTGAAAACCACTGATTTAAGGTAAAGAAGATGAAAGTGTCGCCAGGCTAGCCAGGTAGGGACTTAGTTTTAAAGAAGGGGGAAACCGTGAAACCACTGTTCTTTCCAGAGGGTAATTAAAAAAAGAAAACAATATTAATATCCCCAAGGGAGTAATGAAAAAGTACTCCTGAAACAAGCAGATGAAATTTCATTCTGTAAAGTTCAAACAGTTGTCAAGTTAAATCTTCTTGCACGAGGCCACTTGGAATGATATAGTAAACCATAGCAATTAACCTTTGGCTTCTTGGTTGTCAGCTGATGATGTAACTCTGTAATGTATGTGCTTGTTTATTGAACATGACTTTTGCATGATTTACCCTTCAGGTCTCTCAAAACTGTGATAAAAAAAGACAACAGTCTCTTGGCATTCTCTTTTTTTTTTCTGTCGTTCCATGGAATAGAGTCTTTGAAAATTCATACCATAGTTATTTATTTTTTTTTAAGAAAGTGAACTGTGATTGAGTAGTGTGGATAGGAGAGCCATGCTATGCCAATGCACTAATCAGATATCTCAAAAATGTTATACATTGTTCCTTCAAGAACTTTTTAATAGATCTCAGCCTATTCTGTAGATATTTGTTATTTTCCAGCCCAGTAATGATACTTTTGCATCAATTGTTCTTGTGCAAGAAAAATGGATAGAGTGTTCTGGAAATAAGGTGAAATACTGAAATACTTCATCTTACAGAGGATTAAGTGGCTTGTCATCACCACCCCCCCCTCCAAGTTTCTTATAAAACATTTTAGTCAAGCAGAGAGGAATTTAAATCTGGTGACTATGGCCAGCCTGGCTCACATCACCTTCTCAGCATCACTAGTGTGGTTTGTAAAACCTCTTGCATAGTCGTGGGTTGCCTGCTGGAGAAGTAAAGAAGAGCGTCCCTTCCAGGGTAGGTTTTCACTGTCTGCCGATTGAATCACATTCTTGCAGGCCTTCTACATGTCACAATTACAGTTACAATGACTCACAATCCAAAATTCCATTTACCACTCAGTTCTCAGGCACCACAGAGCATCCTGCCACTGTCCAGTTGGCACTGATCACTTGTGATTAACAAAAGGACCTGTGTAAACCATGTGTTTCTTATCATGTGCCTTTTATCAAAAGACAGACCCCTTAGTCTCCAGGATATCCCATGATCTCCCACAGCTAGGACCCTTCTAAATATAATAAATGTCAAGTCTGATCTATTCTCTGAAACCATAGTCTTACTTCCCCTTTCTCCCTTCCTTTGGAAATCATCTAAAAAAGACACTTGTCTTGTGACGCATCTGTCCTCACCCCCGCAATGTCACCCAGAGATGAACTATATATCCTCTTTCGTTATGCATCAACATAGATTGTCAGGGCTCCTAGCATGATAAAAGATGGTAGTACATCTTCTTGATTAATAGCCATTCATTAGTAGTAGTAGCAAATATCAACCATCCCCAAACACTCCACCCAGTGTCATCCTCTCCCTCCAAACCTAGTGCAGCCTCATTAAAGAGAGTGCAAACCCATGGTGCTCAGTCTGAAGCACAGATGTGGCCCTTTAATGGGTGGTCTTACTCCTGGCAGACACGGGCTTGTGCTATGCCCTCTTATGCTAGAATCCAACTCAAGGTCACAGCCTGTGGAAGAAGAGTGCTGGAGAAAAGTCTATTTGCAAAATTTCTCTAAATACCTCCTCAAACAACCACAATCTATTCACAACTTTAAAAGCTAAATTTAATGGATGTACTGTATTCACTTTTCTTTTTCTTCTCAATCACTCATTCTGCCTTGAAAGGTACAATATAGGAAGGGATGAGAGGAGGATCCATTGCTGGATTCCAGAGAGGAGGAAAGTAAAGTTGGGTTAACAAGAATTGGGCTATCTGTCCCTACTCTTGGCTCCACTTTTGATTCCTCCCTGTGCATGTCTATACTAAGCCCCTTCTGGGTCCCTCTCATATGTCTTTTTAATAAAGAGAATAAAATGGACACTGTTCCTTCCCCATTCGCCCTAACATTATAAACACTGATTGGACACCATCTGCTTTGAGGGAGAGCAGGTTAACGGCTTGAACGAGGCTACTTCACCACTCAGATATTTCTTGTTCTTCATTCATTATGAAGCTGCCTCCCATGCACATTGCTAAACTCCTATTCAGTGGAATTATATTTTCTGTCTCTACCATCTTATGTAATAATGAGCTATATAGCAAGGGGGCACTAAGCAGAGCAGAGTGCCTTCAGAGGGGCTAGTGTTGATGAGTGGTCTGGGTAGATGTACTCTGTACAGCCATAGAACCTGAAGGACCCATGAAGGAGCCAATGCATGCCACTCACTGTACTTCCTTGATTTTAGAATGCCATCCATTGTAAGAGAGATTTAAGAACATGTTTTTAAGAGAAAAAAGAAACATTTGTACATTAAATATAGAAGCACTAAAACACTGAAAAGTGAAAACAGTGTGTGGTTTAGCATCATAGAAAAATCATACTGTCCCCATTGGCACCTATACTACTTGACCTGGTTGAATCATTTTTATGGGCTCCACTTTAGGTCAAACTATGAACGACCTAAAGTTGGTTTTCAGATGTCTGTCATATTTACACCTTCATTATTTAGTAAATATTTCTAAGTCCCAAATATATGCTAAGTTCTGGGCTTGGCATTGGCCATTCTAAGATCAATACAGATGTTTTGCCAGAGGACTGTCTATTTTTATTTTATGAAATATATTTTTATTAATTTTCAGAGAAGAAGGGAGAGGGAGAGAGATATAGATATACCAATGATGAGAGAGTATCATTGATTGGCTGTCTGCTGCACACCCCACATTGGGGATCAAGCCTGCAACCAGGGCATGTGCCCTGACTGGGAATCGAACTGTGACCTCCTGGTTCATAGGTCGACGCTCAACCAC